CTGCTTGTGATCTCTCTCTCACTGTGTCTCTCCAAGTAATAAATGAGATCTTTAAAAAAAAAAAATGCAAAAACTGGGGCGCCTGTTTGGCTCAGTCAGTTAGGCATCTGCCTTTGGCTCAGGTCATGATCCCAGGGTCCTGGGATAGAACCCGCACCAGGCTCTCTGCTCAAAAGGGACTCTGCTTCTCCCTCTGACCCTCCTCCGTCTTGGGCTCTCTCTCACTCTCTCTCTCTCTCAAATAAATAAATAAAATCTTTAAATAAATAAATAAAAACAAAAATCCAAAAACCTGGGGCACCTGGGTGGCTCAGTCGTTAAGCGTCTGCCTTCGGCTCAGGTCATGATCCCAGCGTCCTGGGATGGAGTCCCACATCGGGCTCCCTGCTTAGCGGAGAGTCTGCTTCTCCCTCTCCCTCTGCCTGCCACTCTGCCTATTTGTGCTCTCTCTATCTCTCAGTCAAATAAATAAAATCTTTAAAAAAAAAAATGCAAAAACCTTTCTTTACTCACATATATACACAAAAGAGATCATAGAGTAGATTTGGCCCATGGGCTGCTATTTGCCAACCTCTGCTATAAACATTAAAGAAACAAGAAATATAATGAACAACTTTATTCCAATAAGTTCCAAAACACAGATGAAGTAGACAAATTCCTTGAACTGAAATTACTAAAGCTCCCTCAAAAAAAAAAAAAAAAAAGATAACCTGAATACCCCTATTACTGGTTAAATAAATTAAATATGTAATTAAATACTTTCCCATAAATAATACACCAGGCCCAGATAACATCACTGGTGAAGTCTATCTAATATTTAAGGAAAAACAATACCAATTTTACCCCAATTCCTTTAGAATATAGAAGAGGAAACATAAGTCAGCATTACCCTGATATTAAAACCAATAACATAAAGAAAACACAAACAGCTATTCTTTTTATATATGGGAACACAAATGTTCATAACAAAACATTAACAACAAACAAATCAAATCCACGAATATATAAAAAGTGATAAACCATGACCAAGTGAGATTTATCCCAAGAATACAAAATTGGTTAAATATTTGAAACTAAAACAATCAATGTAATTCACCGTATCAATATAATAAAGGAGAAAATCCATATGGTCGTCTTAGATTCAGAAAAAGCATTTGACAAATTCAAAGTAGGACTAGTAGGTAACTTCAACCTGATAGAGAACATCTAAAAAGTCCTATAGATAACACAATAACAAATGGTGAAAGGTGATGGCTTTCCTCTGAATTTCAGGAACATGGCAAGAATGTCTGCTCTAATAATTTCTATTCAACATTGTACTAGGAGTCCTACGCAAAGCAATAGTAAAGAAAAATAAATAAAAGATATATAGTTTTGTTTTGTTTTTTTTAAAGATTTTATTTATTTGAGAGAGAGAGGGAGAGTGAGAGAGAGAGAGATCACGAGCAGAGGGGAAGGGTAGAGGGAGAAGCTGACTCCGGGCCCAGCAGGGAGCCTGATGCGGGACTCGATCCCAGGACCCCAGGATCATGACCTGAGCCGAAGGCAGCCCCCCAACCGGCTGAGCCACCCAGGTGCCCTACAGTTTTTTTTTTAAGATTTTTATTTTTAAGTCATCTCTATACCCAATCCCAAGATCAAGAGTTATACACTCCACCAACTGAGCCAGCCAGGCACCCCAAAGATAGACAGTTCAGAAAGGAAGAAGCAACTGTCTTTATGCGCAAACATGGTAATCTCATAGGAAATCTTAAAACATCTAAAAAACAAAACAAAAAGCCCTGGTAGGACCAATAGGTGAATTTAGCAAAGTCACAGAATAGAAGATCAATTTATAAAAATTATTTCTATTTCTACACTTACAACAACCATTTGGACATAGTTTGAAATAGTAATGATAAATTTAACAAAATATATGGAAAATGTAGGGACAACTGGGTGGCTCAGTCGGTTAAGCATCTGTGTTTGGCTCAGGTCGTGATCCCAGGGTCCTGGGAGCAAGTCCTGAATCGGGCTCCTTGCTCAACGGGGAGCCCACTTCTCCCTCTGCCTGCCACTCTCACTCTCTCTCTCTGACAAGTATAAATAAATTTTTTTTTTAAGATTTTATTTATTTATTTGACAGAGAGAGACACAGTGAGAGAGGGAACACAAGCATGGGGAGTGGGAAAGGGAGAAGCAGGCTTCTGGCAGAGCAGGGAGCCCGATGCGGGGCTCGATCCCAGGACCCTGGGATCATGACCTGAGCTGAAGGCAGACGCTTAACGACTGAGCCACCCAGGCACCCCTAAATAAATATTTTTTAAAATATGGAAAATCTATATACTGAAAACTAAAAAGTGTTGCTGAGGAAAAACTAAACAAGTGGAGAGGTTTACCAGATACTTCATATTGTTAGGATGAAAATTATCCCCAAATTAATCAATAGATTCAAGTCAATTCCAGTAAAAACCCCAGAAGACACTTTAGAAATTTAAGAAACTGAATCTAAAATTTACATGGAGATGCAAAGAACTTAGAGTCACCTAAACAATCAGGAAAAGAACAAAAGTAGAGAACTATACTACCTCATTTTAAGTCTTCCTATTAAGTTATAATAACCAGGGCAGTGTAAATATATAGTCATATAGCTCAATGGAAATGAATAGAAAGTCCAGAAAGAGACTCACACATATGGGCAATTGATTTTTGTCAAGGGGTCAAGGTGATTAACAGGGAAAAGGATACTTTTTAATAAATGATGCTAGAATGACTGTATATTCCTATGCAAAAAAAAATAAACCTTGACCATTAACTCTAGATTGACTATAGACTTAAACACAAGGCTAAAACTATAATTTTTTTTTTTAGAATAAAGCCTAAAAGAAAATCTTTGTGATTATGGGGTAGGCAAAGATTTCTTACAACGGACACAAAAACATAAACTATAGATGTTGATAAATTGGGCTTTTTGAAAGACACTTTTTTTTAAGGTTTTTTTTTTTTTAAGATTTTATTTATTTATTTGACAGAGAAAGTACAAACAGGGGGAGTGGCAGGTAGAGGGAGCAGCAGGCTCCTGCTGAGCAGAGAGCCCTGAATGATCCTGCAAGACCCTGGGATCATGACCTGAGCCAAAGGCAGACACTCAACAACTAAGCCACCCAGGCACCCCTGAAGGACACTTTTTTTTTTTTTTAAAGATTTATTTATTTATTTGAGAGAGCGAGAATGAGAGAGAGTACATGAGAGGGGGGAGGGTCAGAGGGAGAAGCAGGCTCCCCGCCGAGCAGGGAGCCCGATGCGGGACTCGATCCCGGGACTTCAGGACCATGACCTGAGCCGAAGGCAGTCGCTTAACCAACTGAGCCACCCAGGCACCCCCTGAAGGACACTTTTAAGACACCTTTTTACAAGGAAAGTCACAGGCTTGGAGAAAGTAAACATAAAAACAGAAATAGTGATATAGAATATAGAAACTTAACAGAAAGGATAAGTAATGATAAAATTAGGTTTGATTTTGTTTTTTTAATTTTACTTTATTTATTTATTAAAGATTTTATTTATTTATTTGACAGAGAGAGCAAGAGAGCACAAGCAGGGGGAACAGCAGAGGAAGAGGTAGAAGCAGGCTCCTCGCCCAGCAGGGAGAGCGATGCAGGGCTCCATCCCAGGACCCTGGGATCATGACCTGAGCTGAAGGCAGACGCTT